TCTGCTCCTATGATGCTGCTTGACCTGCTGTGTTCATCCAGCCCTGCACCTTGTTGTATCAATTTTTAATTCACTAGAATGTTCTTACCTTCTTATTCATGTCCTGAAGTCTTGGTTGTTGAGTTTTTTTCTTTGAATGATGTTTACGCAAAACTAAATTTTCTGACTACCATTTTATTGTTACCAGCAGAATAATTTTCCAAACCATATTGCAACACCCCACTGAATGGAATTAATTTAATGTTTGTTAATTATTTGTCTTTCTATTCAATAAGACAAACTGAAAGACTACATGTGATTATAGCAATATATAGATTTTTGAAATGGGGCAAATCTAGCAATGTTGAGCAGTTTTATTCTCTTGCCTTGCCTGTCCTGCCTAAGTGTATCAGCTCACAATGACCTGGATTGAATTTTATTTCCCACTGATCAGCCTAATGGAGGAGTCCATTTGCATCCTCCTGTAATTTTAAGGCTATCTTCCTCACAGCCCAGCAAAATGGAAGGTGACTGAATTGATAGAGAAATGGAGGAATACAGAGTCAAAGCTTGAAGAATGAATGAGGAGTTCAGGAAAGAGAGGCTGCAGAGATGCAATAGAAAAAAAAATCTTGAAGTTTGGAAAGAAGAGTGGAAAATGATGATGCAGATCAAGGTGCAAAAAGAACTCCAAATGCTGGAAATTGTGCGAAAATTGAAAGGATGGTACATAGTGAGGAAAATAGTCTTAAATTACAGGAGGATGCAAATGGACTGCTCAGATGGGCTGATCAGTTGGAAATAGAATTCAATCCAGGTAATATTGAGCTGATACACTTAGGCAGGACAAGCAAGGCAAGAGAATACATGATGCACAGTAGGATCTAGGGAAGAATCAAGGATCGGAGGGGCCTTGGTGTGCATGTACACCAGCCCCTTAAGGTAGCGTGACACATATTGAAAGTAGTTAAGAAGGCATATGGAATACTTGCTGTTTTTAGCCAAGGCTTGAAGTTTAAGTGCAGGGAGTGATGCTGGAACTGTATAACACATCTGTGAGGCCACAGCTAGAGTGTTGTGTGCAGTTTTGGAATTCACGTAATAGAGGGATGTGATTGCATAGACGAGAGTGCAGAGGACATTTACCAGGATGATGCCTGGGCTGGAGATTTTAAGCTATGTAGAGAGCTGCAATAGACTGGGATAACAAGGTGTAGAGCTGGATGAACACAGCAGGCCAGGCAGCATCAGAGGAGCAGGAAAGCTGACGTTTCAGGTCTGGACCCTTCTTCAGAAATGCACTCTTCTGCAATAGACTGGGGTTGTTTTCCTTGGAGCAAAGAAGACTTAGAGGGGACACGGTTAGACTATATACCATAAGAAATAGGAACAAGAGTAGGCAGTTTGGTTCCTCAAGCTTGCTCCACATTCAATAATGTTATAAATAATCTGACAATTCTTATGTCCACTTTCCTGCATTTTCCCAGGAACCCTTGATTCCCCTACTGATCAAGAATCTCTTTATCTCAGCATTAAGTGTATGCAAGGACTTGGCTCCCACAGCTCCCTGTGGCAAAGAGCTCTAAATTCTCTCAGCCCTCTCATAACCTTGGAAAATTAATGTAAATTAAGGGGCAGGAAGTTTAAAGGGAATGTGAGGAAACATTTTTACCATTCAGAGGTGGTGGAAATCAGGAACTCTTTGCCTGTGAGGGTGGTAGAGGCAGAACTCTCATAATGTTTAAAAAGTATCTACATGTATACTTGCAGTGCCAAGGCATACAAGGCAATGGGCCATGTGCTGGAAAATGGGGTTGTTTTTGACTGGAACAGACTCAGTGGGCTGAAGGGCCTTTTTCTTTGCTGTACACCTCTAGACCTTTATGATTCTATGACACACTGAAAGCACACAATAAAGCTAACAAAGATGTCTATATGTCATAGATAATTTGATCATAAGAAGAAACTGGAATTACTTCAGATTTGGGTTTTAAAAGCCCATAGATTGAGAGTGAGGGAATGAAAGAGAGAGAAAAGAGTTTCTGCTTTGAGCTCATTCAGAATGAATTGGAGTTAAATTTAAACATGGTAAATCTCAATTACTATTCATTGAATATCAAGAGGGAGAAGGAGCTTGCAGGAAGAGATGAATAGAATTCAGTAGGATGAAATTAACAAATTTATGGATAGTAAAGCAGTTACATAAAGTGGATAGATTGTTGTCAGAGAAGAGAGAGATTGCCCATAAAATGCCTTTTATCCTGTCAGTAAGTATGATAGAGATCATCAAAGCTCTGTACAATTATTTAAGAAGCATTCATCGTTCAAAAAGAATTGACTTTGTTGAAACTTAATGATTGTTGGCAGTACAAGGATCATTTTGTCGGCAAAAAGAAACTAAGTTTCTCGGACATAGTATTGTCATTGAAGATGTTAAGAGTTAAATTTCTGATTAGATTATATAACGGCATCCAATTTTTTGACCCTGGTCAAACAAAAATAATACGTATTTACATTTAGAAAACTTCTGCTCTGGAACTACTTTGACAGAAGTCTCCTGTTACTAAAAAGGCAGAGATCTGATCAGGATTTCTTGCAGGCAGCAGCAGAGAGGAGCAATGTAGAAATCATGTTCACAGCAGTGAGTGTGCATAGTCCACATTTTAGTGTTCAGCAACACAGCCAGCTGCTTGGACAGCTGTTGTGAAAAGCTAAGTATGTTAGGATATGTGTGCTGTTGTGGTGGCAGACAGGTGGGGGAATGGTAGAGGGCTAGAGTGCCAGTGGTTGTATGGCTAAGGGTCTAGGGCGAGTGGATGAATGTTTAGGGTAGTTTGGGCTGTGTCGTTGGGGGAGAGGTATCTGATCCGGCTGTCAGGGGCAGATGTTGTTACTGGAAGGTGTCATTGGAATCCAAGTTTCACATTGATAACTACCCAGGGATTAAAGGAAGCTTTTACTCCCCAAACAATTCCGAGGTAGGTTATGTAAATTGAAATGCTACGAATTCTTTGACTTTATTGGAGGGTTCCATAGGTAGGGGAATTGCCCTTAGGGAAATTTCCATTTTCCTAATGATTCCTTCTGAGTCAGTTACGTTGGCATTTTGTGCAGCATCCTGACATGTGACTCTAATATCCACTGCCTCAGTGGCTATCTGGCCATCAGAATTTCTGAGTCAGTTGAAGCAGGCTATTCAACCTGTGGAGTCCATACTGACTCTCCAAACAGCATCTCAACCAGACTCATCCCCCTACTCTATCCCTGTAATCATCCAATTCCCATGGTCAATCCACCTAGCCTGTACATCTTTGGACTATGGGAAGAAACCGGAGCACCCAGAGGAAACTCGTGCAGACATGAGGACAATGTGCAAACTCCACACAAACAGTCACCTGAAGGTGGAATTGAACCCATGTCCGTAGTGCTGTGAAGCAATAGTGCTAACCACTGAGCCACAGTGTCACTCCATAGAAGAGTTTGTTGTAAACAACTCCAGCAGTTTTGTGTCAAGAATTCCAAAGCACACAGTCACAAAGGCTTTTGCATTGGGCAGTGATATTGGAAGGAAAGATTTCATACAAAAAGATAGATTTTGAAGAGCAAAGGATGCAAGTTAGTGCAGGAAGATTCCACTATGTGCAGTGTAAAATTTGGTAAGGATAGGTATAGAGTCCATGCTGTAGAGTGGAATGCTCTCAGCAGATTTATGGATTAGGTGGAATTGTTGGCATAATTCATACATAATTTCTCCTGATTTCCCCCAAGGAAGAATAATGATGTATCAAGTCACATAAAATTTAACTGGCAGCCTTCCAAATATCATAATTTTATGTATGATTGAGGATGCTGAGTTGCCATAATCTCATTGAATGATGGAACAAATTTGATGGGCTGAATGGCCTACTTCTGCTCCAACTCTTATGATAATTGGATAATTTTAATTCTTTTCTTGCAATATGGATATTGCTGGCAAGGTTGGTTTTTATTGTGCATCCTTGGTTAACTTGAGAAAAAGGTGCCATGTTACATTCTCTTTTTGAAATACCAAATCAATAATTCAGTACCACTTCAGAGGATATTTAAAAGTCAAGCTTGTTGGTACGTGGTGGAATCATATGAAGAGCCTAAATGGTAAGGATTTTCAATTGGTTTTAAGGATGATCTGCAGACTTCGTCACTTTTATCTCTCTGATGTGTTTTGTTAACTTTTCTGATTTGAATTTTTGAAAACTGAATTCAAATTCTTAAATTACCACAGTGGGATTTTCATTTATTGTTGGTATTGGCCTCTGGATTACTATAACTACATTTGCTAAATATTTGGGACCTTCCAAAGACCTCATTTGGACTTGCACCAGTTGAAATCAACTGTACCATTTCTTCTGACCTTAATCAGGCCTTACAGGTACAATTTTTGAACTAGGCCAGGAGCTCATTTGAAATAATCCATTGAACTGAGAGTGGATTGAAAGATATGGTTGTGGACTCTGTCCTCACCAAGGACAGTCCTAGGATCTCAACTATTTGTAATTTATATTAATGATTTGAAGGAGGAAACAGAGTGTAATGTATCCAGATTTTGTGCTGATATGAACGTAGTGGGAGGGCGTATTGTGATGAGGACATAGTGGAATTAGAATCATTAGATGCTTGTTTTGTTTGGTACAGGCTTGATGGGCTGAAGGACCTTTTTCTGTTCTGTAGATCTCTATGACTCTATGAAGCTGTAAAGAATTTGCAAGGGGATGTACATAGGATGAGTGAGTGGGTCAAAGCTTGGCAGATTGAGTTCAATGTAGAAAAGTGAGAAGTCATGTACTTTGTAAGGAAGAACCAAAAGACACACTATTATTTAAATAAAGAGAGATTCCAAAAAAAATGTGGCACAGAGGGATCTAGGTATTCTTGTGCATGGAGACACAAAATGGTAGCATGCAAAAAGTAATTAAGAAGACAAATGGAATGTTCGCCTTTATTGTTCAGGGGTTGGAGTTTGAAAATAGGGATGACCTTTATTAGAAAACATAAAGGTAGATAAATCTTTGGGACCTAATCAAGTGTATCCCAGGACATTGTGGGAAGTTGGGAAATTGTGGGCCCTTAGCAGAAATGTTTGTATCATCTGTAAATTAGGTGAGGTGCTGGAGGACTGGAGAGTGGCTAATGTGCCTTTATTTAAGAAAGGTTTTATTTAAGGCTTATATAATTAATGGTAGGGCCCTGGGTAGTGTTGTAGAACAGAGAGATCTAGGGGTTCAGGTACATAATTCTTTTAAATTTGTATCACAGGTAAACAGCATAGTTAAGAAAGTGTTTACATGCTTGCTTTCATTGCTAAGACCTTTGAGTATAGGAGGTGGGCCGTCACATTGAGGATGTACAGGATGCTAGTGAGGCCTCTTCTAGAGTAAGGTGTGCAGTTCTGATCGCCATCCTATTGGGAGGATATTATTAAACTAGAAAGAATTCTGAAAAGATTTACCAGGATGTTGCTGGGAATGGAGGGTTTGAGTTATAAAAATAGGCTGGATAGGCCAGGACCTTTTTCACTGGAGCATAAGAAGTTGAGGGGTGACCTTATTGGGGTTTATAAAATCATAAGGGATGTAGATAAGGTGAATAGCAAAGGTCTTTTCCCTAGGGTGGGAGAGTTCAAAACTAGGGGCCATATTTTTAAGGGGAGAGGAGAAAGATTTAAAAATGACATGAGGGGCAACATTTTCAAACAGAGTGATTAGTGTGTAGAATGAACTGCCAGTGGTGGATGCAGATACAATTACAACATTTAAAAAATATTTGGATAAGTACATGAATAGGAAAGTTTTGGAGGGATATGGGCCAAGCACATTCGGGTGGGACTAGTTTAGTTTGGGAACGTGGTCAGCATGGACTGTTTGGACTGAAGGGTCTGTTTCCACGCTGTATGACTCTATAGCTGCACTGGGTGTTGGCAAAGTCAAGTCTGGAGTATAAAGTTTTGCTCCCTGTATTTCAAAAGCATTAGAATTTAAAAAGCATTCGCATTAAAATGCTACTCAAAACCAATTCATAAGGCTGATTCCTGAAATGAAGAGGTTAACCAAATTGGAAGAATGAGGGATGATCTTGTTGAAACATACAGGATTCTGAAGGGGCTTGACAAGAGTAAATGTTGAGAATTTTTTTCAGCTTGTGTGAATTAGAGAAGGTAGCGAATATATGGAATTCTCTACTCCAGAGGGTTTTGGAGTTGGATCAAGCTACACCTAAGCTGGTACAAAAGAATAGTTGAGGCCTAGGGCAAATCAGCCATGATTTTGTTGTATGGTGAGGCAGGCTTGAGGGACTGAATGGCCTACTCCTATGCCTGTTCCTTATGTTCACCGAAATTTAAAGGACAAAGTATACAGGCTAAAACTGTGGTAAATCTGGGGTCAGCGTTGAACCCCTGTCTCTGAATGCAAGAGCTTCTTTACTAATATCCCCATAATCCCAGCAATTTTAGGCCTACCAAAAGTTACAAGATTGTTTTTTTTCAATTGGGGTTTTATACATTCTCACAATAGTAGCTATTTCTTGAATATCATTTGTTTGTTTAGATAACATGAACAATCCACAAGCAGTGAAAAGATTAAATCAAATTGCTTTGGTTTGATTTCCAGCCAGTCTTGGGATAGCTTCCGAAATCATAGTGATTATTGAAGCCTCTGATGATGCCTATGGTGTGTTCCAGTTCAGCAATGATTCTTTGTATATGAATAGTACAGAACCCAAAGACAGTCTTGAAATTGTTTTATTACAGGTCAGTAATTTATCTTGCTTGATATTGAATATTTTATCAGAGCTGGAAAATAGAAATTCTGCTGAATTATGAAAATATGTTGTTGTTTAAGATGTTGAGTATGTTGTGTTAAATTGAAGTTTATATGCTGGTGGAACTCATTGGAAAATGTCTGAGATTGACAAGCTGCATTATACAATTCATGAGTTTAATAAGTTGTTTGACTTTTTAGGTTGAACGAGCTGGTGGTACTCTGTCTCAGGCAACCTTATTTTGGGATGTTGTTTCTGATCCTTACAATGATTTGGTCAACATCCATGGCAATGTCACATTCAAAGTCGGACAATCTCTGGCCAACATTGTGCTGCAGGTGGCTTCTGATGAAGTGCCAGAATTGGATGAAGAATTTATGATTTACATCAGTAACGTTTCACACGGTCGCCTAGGAATTTTAACAAATGCTACTTTGACAGTCCTAGCTAATGATGACCCCTATGGAGTGTTTGTCTTTTCGGAAAGAAGTCAGCCAGTCAGAGTTGAAGAAGGAGACCTGAATGTGACACTGACAATTGAGCGGTTAAGTGGATTTATGGGTATTGCCTTGGTCACGTACTCAACTGTGGATGATACAAAGTCAGCTAATCTGCCATATTTCATTACTAGAGCAACAAAGGAAACTGATTACCTTGTTATATATGGGTCAATAATCTTTGAAGCCAATCAAACAGAAGCGAATATAACGATTCCCATACTGGATGATGTGGAACCTGAGCGACCAGAGTCTGTGTTTGTCCAGTTGGATAATGTCGCGCTGCTAAAAGGGGAGCAGGACAGGCCAAGTGAGTAGTCTGAAATGGTCGATCAGATATTTGTTCTTTTCTGATGTTCAAGTTCGATTAGCCTGTTTGTAAAAAAATGTTATTGTCTTCCTCTTCTGAATTCCATACATCACTCTCTTATAAAAACTTGCTGCCACACCTCTGTCAGTTCCACCCTAAATTATGCTGCGAAGATGGCCCTCCAGTCTGTCTCATGTTTCAGTTTTATTGTTTCCTTATTCCATGAAGGAGTGTCCAGGTGAAATCAAAAACTTGCCAGTTGTGGAATCGACTGAGCCTATTTAGAAGCTTCTATACTTCAAGCTACTGAAAGCTTTATTCTCACTTCTGGGACACAAATCACGGGGAGGCCAGTTAGATTAGTTGGCCAGGAGGCTAGAGTCTGATACAGAATGATGCCAATGAATGATATTTACTTGCTTATTTCTTTGCAACTTATTACTAATCTTTTTTACCCATACTTTTCTCTTGCCCACTTTCAGAAACTATCAACTTCTTTTCGGTTCTTTGAAATTATCTTTATATTAAATATATTACTGTGCCACTGACCCTCCTGATGAATCTGCATGAGGTGGGGTGTAAAGTCGTGCAGGAGATAATTCTATTGGTTCTCCACTACATGAAATAATTTTCAAAATTCTGGACTCAGTCATATAGTAAAATAAAACAAAGAACTACAGATGCTGGGGATCTGAAAGAAAGAGACAGAAATTGATGGAGAAACTCAGTGGGTCTGGCCGGACCTGCGGAAAGAAAGCAGAGTTAACGTTTCGGGTCCAGTGACAGTCATCTTGATGTTTTAATATATTAATATACACCTCTTATTTTTTAATCAAGACAATGTGTTAGCCAATAAAAGGGATATGTCCAACCTCAGTGAAATATGGAACTCTGCCTATTAAAAATTGTTAATTTAGGAAAGTGGATTCTGCTTCTGCAAGTTAACAAAGCAGGCTAAGTACATATGAAGCTTGGTTATGGTACCTTGTGTTCTTGGTAAAGGTAATAAAGCAGAAAGTGCTGAAAAAACGCAGCAGGTCTGGCAGAATCTATTGTCCGAAAAAGCCAGACTAACTCATTCGGCTTAAATTTCCATCAAATGTTTGATGCTAGGAATTTTATTATTCCAGTGATGATGGGGATTTTAAGCTTTAAACCATATAGCGATCAGTTACAGTGGATAGTAAATATGTGTTTGCTTCTTCTAGATCTGATGGCCATGTAATCTAATGGGATAAAGGTGTAACTCACTGTTGAAAAATAGCAGGGTCTGGTTGCTTTGGGTTTCTACCAGCTTATTGCTGCCTTGTTGCTTACTGCTTAAGAGGTAAATGCCATTAAAAGCAAGGTGGGGTTGAGGATGTACTATACTAAGTGTATTGCTTCATTATCTAACATGATGGCTAGTGTCTTTTCTCACTTGTAAGAGGCCACTTTTAGAATACATACAATTCTGGTTGCCCTTCTCTAGGAAGGATGTTGTTAAACTTGAGAGGGTGCAGAAAATGTTTACAAGGATGTTGCCAGGACTAGAGGGTTTCAGTTAAAGGAAGAGGCTGGGACATCTTTCCCTGGAGTGTAGGATCATAGAACCTCTACAGTGTGGAAACAGGCCATTCAGCCCAATGAGTCCACATTGCCCCTCTGAAGACCATCCCACCCAGACCCATTCCCCTACCCCTGCAATTCCCTTGTCTAACCCAAGCATTCTTGGGCACTATGGACAATTTAGCATAGCCAATCCACCTACCCTCCACACCTTTGGATTGTGGGAGGAAACCAGAGCAAAGCCACGCAGACACGGAGAGAATGTGCACACTCCACACAGACAGTTGCCTGAGGGTGGAATTGAACCTGGGTCCCTGGCACTGTGAGGCAGCAGTGCTAACCACTAAGCCACCATGCTACTGAGGGGTGACCTTATAGAGGTTTATAAAATCATGAGGGTCATAGGTAAAGTCTTTTCCATAAGGCAGGAGAGTCCAAAACTAGAGGACATAGGTTTAAGGTGAGAGGGGAAAGATTTACAAAGGACCTGAAGGGTACCTTTTCACTGAGAGGATGGTGCGTGTTTGGAACGAGCTGCCAGAGAAAGTGGTAGAGTGGGGTACAATTACCACATTTAAAAGACATTTGGACAGGTACATGGATAAGAAAGATTTAGAAGGATATGGGCCAAAGACAGGCAAATGGGACTAGTCAGTTTGGGAAGCCTGGTGGGCATGGCTGATTTGAGGCAAAGTCTCTGTTTCTGTGCTGTATGACACTATGACTCATCAATTCAAACCATTACAATGCTTAGCTAAACTTCTTTATTTGGTCACACACCAGCCAAGTTCTTCTGAAAAGCATTTCTTGGCTTTTGAAATTTGTACGATTAGGAGAGAATTGAAAAAGAATTTTCATTTGTTATCTGCTTACTATTCTTGCCATTGAGTAACCACAATGTATTTCATTATGCGTACGCTTGTGTGGACAGGATCTGTAAGGTTTGAGGGAAAACACCAGAATGCACAGAGCGATGTTTTAGCTGAAAAATAGAACATAGAACATAGAACATAGAACATTACAGCGCAGTACAGGCCCTTCGGCTCTCGATGTTGCGCCGACCTGTGAAACCTATCTGAAGCCCATCTAACCTAAACTATTCCATTATCATCCATATGTTTATCCAATGACCATTTAAATGCCCTTAAAGTGGGCAAGTCTACTATTTTTGCAGGCAGGGCATTCCACGCCCTTACTACTCTCTGAGTAAAGAACCTACCTCTGACATCTGTCCTATATCTATCACCCCTCAATTTAAAGCTATGTCCCCTCGTGCTAGCCATCACCATCCGAGGAAAAAGGCTCCCACTGTCCACCCTATCTAATCCTCTGATCATCTTGTATGTCTCTATCAAGTCACCTCTTAACCTTCTTCTCTCTAACGAAAACAGCCTCAAAACCCTCAGCCTTTCCTCATAAGACCTTCCCTCCATACCAGGCAACATCCTGGTAAATCTCCTCTGCACCCTTTCCAATGCTTCCACATCCTTCCTATAATGCGGTGACCAGAACTGTACGCAATACTCCAAGTGCAGCCGCACCAGAGTTTTGTACAGCTGCAACATGACCTCATGGCTCCGAAACTCAATCCCTCTACCAATAAAACCTAACATACTGTACGCCTTCTTAACAACGCTATCAACCTGGGTGGCAACTTTCAGTGATCTATGCACATGGACACCGAGATCTTTCTGCTCATCCACACTACCAAGAATCTTACCATTAGTCCAGTACTCTGTATTCCTGTTACTCCTTCCAAAGTGAATCACCTCACACTTTTCCGCATTAAACTCCGTTTGCCACCTCTCAGCCCAGCTCTGCAGCTTATCTATGTCCCTCTGTAACCTGCAACATCCTTCCGCACTATCCACAACTCCACCGACTTTGGTGTCATCCGCAAATTTACTAACCCATCCTTCTACGCCCTCATCCAGGTCATTTATAAAAATGACAAACAGCAGTGGCCCCAAAACAGATCCTTGCGGTACACCGCTAGTAACTGAACTCCAGGATGAACATTTCCCTTCAACCACCACCCTCTGTCTTCTTATAGCTAGCCAATTTCTGATCCAAACCGCTAAATCACCCTCAATCCCATGCCTCCGTATTTTCTGCAATAGCCTACCATGGGGAACCTTATCAAACGCTTTACTGAAATCCAAATACACCACATCAACCGCTTTACCCTCATCCACCTGTTTGGTCACCTTAGCTTAGCTACACGCTTACAAATGTGCATGCCCCATGTTATCTTCTTACTTGAAGTTTTAATCCAATGCAAAGATAAGTAACAAGGGTTCTGTGGCAGTCGTAGTATTCCTACCACTGATTAGGAAGTCCAGGTTCATGTCTCATCTGTCCCAGAGGTGTGTCCTAGCAAGTCTGAACATGTTGATTGAAATAACTATAAATAACCAATCAGTTGGCTAAACGCGTACAAGGGAACAGACAGGTACAGAATTAAATTCTTTTAATAGTTTTCGCTTTTGAAATGTGTATTACCTCAATCTAGTTAGCTAATGGAAAAATGAATTTTGTAATTTGTAGGCAATAATATGTATTTTGCCTGCTTGTGAAGAAATGACTAATTATTGTAATTAGCTGGTATAGAACTCGAATATTGCTGAAAATTTCAAAGGTTTTCATCTTGCTCTCATCAGGACATTGTGCAAGTATTCAAGGAGAAATGTGAAGTGTACACTATGGGAAGGGAGAGTGCTGATTGGTTGGCAAGTGGGCTCTACCTGGTACAGGTGTTGCCATGGAAATTGCACCAGTTAATTTTGATCGACAGTTAATGGGCAGACTGTGTTAAACTTTAAACCAGGCAAGGTATTGACTGTAGGGAAACAGCCCACACTTGCAAAACTTGAAATGCACTGTCTAACGTTAGATCTAATTCGCAACTGGACAACATTTACTGGACAATTCTGAATGTACGAGCAATCATGTAAACAACCAAATTAGGATTGTTAGTTGGGTTTGCAATGTGGTGCACTTGCATGTACTGGAAACTACATATATTTGTACTTTGGGCATCGTTCATTGTAGATTTAAAAAATCTGTACATGCATTCTTATTTATCTTTGTTCAGCACAAAGTCACTCAAATAATGTTGAACAAGGATGAAAATTCAAGAGTTGCTTGAGAAATCTGACAGATTGAAATTCTTTCTGTCCTGATTGGAGCTTTTTCAGCAGAACAGATTCAGTGGACGCTACTAACTTACCAGTAACTATTTAGTAGTGTATTTAGCTGCAGAAAGTGCATTAACTTATGACGTCCTAAATAAACTGCCCAGTACAATAGTTCTAACTTTGTGAAATTAATTGACCTGGTCAAGCACTTAGTGTTGTGTATTTGGTGAACTGTCACTTTAAGGATTTGATCACATGATAATGATGATGTCATCAGCCATTTCAGGCAAGAAACCACTAAGTCTAACCTTGCTGTCTGTCAGGAAACATTTCCATCATAAAGCTCCTGCTGTTAAATGTTTTGGCCTCTTGGTCCTTCTTGGAAATAACACTTAGTAAAAAAGGTGGATACAACATTTTTCAGTATTGATTCATGCAAACATGCGAAATAGGAACAACAGTAGACCATTCAGCCCCTTGAGCCTATCTGTCATTCAATAAGGTCATGGCTGATCTGTTTGTGTTTCCAATAACCCTTGATTTCCTGCCTCACAAGAATCTTATCAATTTGTATTATTCAATGACACCACCTCCTTTGTCTTCTGAGACAAAGAGTTCTAAAGTCACACCACCCTTTGGGAGAAAAGAATTCAAAGCTACTTGTATGAATGAATAGTTATTTAATTCACTGAACAACAAAAACAACTTGTAGCTAAAATGCTATGTGAGCAGATCAAATCTGCAAATTTTGAATACTGGGTTCATAGCTAGTGGCAAATTTGTGTGCAATGGAATTGAAGTGCTAACTCCCAATACCATATTTAATTTATCATCCAGGTATGGGTTACACATTGGGTTACAATATAAACATGGTCTTCAGCCAGAATTTTTTTTTGTGAAGGCAGTGACCCTGCCACTAGCTGTAAAGTCAGGTCTTGAGTCTATCTCCACAGGGCTGGAAAACCTGGAGTTAATATAGTGGCAGTTAAGCTGTTAACTGACCCTGGTCATGACTTCTGACCACATCAGAGGAAGTCCTGTTCTAAAGGGTAAGTAGCCATTCAGTCCCTGGAGCACTACCCTGGGCACAGCAGCCAACCTTCCACCAAAATTACCATTGGAAACTGAATGCTAACATAAGTAGAGTGATGTTACTGGCATCAATGAGACAAGCCCCTCACTGGGATGTAGGGGACAGCAATGAGTGGATGGAGAGGTTGGTAATAAGCAGGGGTGAGGATCACAGTTGTGCTAGCCTCTGTTGAGCACAGGGTGATTGAGCCATGAGAAGCCAGACAATCAGAATTTACTTAGAGGTTTCTCTGCTTGGTGTGCCTGCACACTCCCACAATGTGCATAAAATACCAGTGGGGTTGGAAGGAGATCCTTGTAGCTATTAAAAGGCCACTTGGGGACCTTAGTTGGCCTAAGGCTGGGTGGGCTGCTTGACACCTTGTTGCTGTTAAAATAGGAGTGGAGGTAGACCTGGTCCCCTACCATGCCACACAGTGCCGTGTATTCCCACCAGTCCCTTCTTACCACCCTGCCCCTGGTTGGGAAGGGAGGGTTGTAGTAAAGGGAGTAAAATTCTGGCCTTAGTGACAAAACAACTGACAGTTGTCATGGTCAGGAATCACTCACTAACAAGTATGATTGTCTACCTAGAAAATTGTGTGTGAGCATGACCTAGATATAAAAATATTTGGAATCATCTTGTTTGTATCTCCTTTGATATGGAAGATGAACAGAATATTAATTAACACATGATATTCCTATGTTCACTCACAAGTGATGGAATTATTTCTAACCATTGAATTTTTTTGGGAGGGGGTATATTCAGACAGATATACTGTACCCTGTGTGATGACAGACACTCTGTCTTTTAGTTGTTGGCTCTCCACGACTTGGACAGAAGGATGACATCATGGCCCATGTGATAATCAATGCCAACGATGATGCATTTGGTACTCTGCAGCTTTCAACTTCCGCTGTACGAGTTTCTGAAAATTATATTGGACCAATAATCAATGTGACCAGAACTGGGGGGATATTTGCAGATGTTTCTGTAAAATTCCAAGCTTTGTCGATGACAGCGAGAGTTGGTAAGAGATGTTAATACCTATTAATATTACACCTAGACTTGTCGTATTTTTCTGTGGTTCACCAATGAATATGAAAATTTTATTAATATGACTTGAGAGTGCAGTGCATCATCTATAAAATCTGATATTGCCTGTCTCGAAATGGCAGGATGTTATGCTGTAGCTATAATTATCCACCCATGGTTACCATTCTGAGTTAACATGTCATTTCCTCTCCTCCTCTTAAAGCTTTTTATGCATCTCTTCATTTTGCGCCACAAATAACCGTGGATGCTTTGGATATTTGGATGGACCGTCTGGAATTCACACTAAGTATTAACCTGCTCAGCCTTCAGAAATTATTTCAAGACCTATCTCTCCAATAATTATTTAGTGCATATTTCCCAAATGCCCAGTTGTGTTTTTTCATTTCTTTTTTATATTATAGTTACATTAAAATTGTGATTTGATTTTGTCAAACAATAGAAGAGAGAGGAGGAGAATTGAGTTTAGATAGTCTGTCAAAGGGAGATGAAAAGGAGAAAGTGTAGCGAATATCAATTGATCTACTTTGTTCATTGTCCTGCAGTCACTTTTAGAGTAGAATTGATGGCATACATGTTTCTTGGATTTCAATTTGGCAAGACTATTGTAAGGTCATGAAGGCTGAGTGAAGGCAGCAAACAATAAGAGAAATACAGCAAAAAAAGGAATGTAACTGATGAAATATAATTTAGTGGAGAATGCTGATCACAATCAAAATGTTAAACTGGTGGCCAAAGAATGACTGAGTGAAATTTTGAAATCCAAGGAAGACTGGGATATGTTGAACATAAGCAACTACTTCTAAAAGAGAATAAAATATGTATAGTGTCTCTATATGCATGATCCCTTCAAAACGTTGCATTGTTTCAAATCTAATTTTTCAGAGAAAACCACTGATAGAACTGTGTTTTTTGTATTACTTCTGTAGGTGAAGATTACAGTATAGCATCTTCTGATGTTCTTTTGCTCGAAGGGGAAACAAGCAAAGCTGTGCCAATTTACCTCCTTAATGACATAATTCCAGAGCTTGAAGAGTCATTTCGTGTTGAACTTATTAATGAGACGACAGGGGGGGCTGTGCTTGGAGCTGTCACACAGGCAACCATTACGATCGAAGCTTCAGATGACCCTTATGGATCCTTCGGTAAAATCAAACTCATTTGCTTGTAGTTGACCAGCGTGATTAGTAAGCAGATAGTTAGATTGCATTGAGTATAAGTCGAAATGTCATAACATTCAAGGTTATAGGCCAGGTGCTGGAAAGTGGGATTAGTGTACATAGGTCAGTACAGACTCAATAGGCAAAAGGGCCTCTTCTGTGCTGTATGACTCTATGAATGTGAATCTAAGATAAAGAGCGACAATTATGGGTTACCCAGGCCAGTAGTTTTGAACCAGTGTGCTGCAGTACAGTCTTGTTCTGTGACAATGGTGAGAGGTGTGCCACAAAATGTTGGGGAAGCAGCTCTGCTTTACCTGAGCACCAAGGCTGTGTTTCCGATCTCCTCCAGGGCCCCTTTGTCTGTTATTAAAGGAAGTATCTGCTGGCATTTGTCACCTCACTTACACAGGGAGAAGGGAAATCTGCTCCGTGTGTTGTGGAATTATTTATTTCATTGAAGTGTGAAAAGGTTAGGACTCACTGACACAGGCTTTGGTCATGAGTGAATGAACATAGGTTTGCTGCTCAAGATTGTTTTTTTTCTTGGCTGGTCGGCAATACTCTTTGCCTTTAACACAACTTCTTAAAATTAGCCCTTAAACTGTAACTTAATTTCATCTACTCTGTAATGCATCACACCACTCTAAATTTATACTCCTAAAGTCTTGTATCTCATTCATATTGTTAGCACTTCAAACATTACACATAACATCACATCAAAAAGTAATAATTGTGTAACTAAAAAAAAGAGAATAAACCAATCAGTAGTTTTGCTTATGTACAATAGCCTGGTCTATCCATCTGGGCAGAAGTTGGGATTTGGCAAAAATCTGTTTATCACCAGAAAGTAAAAGGCGTGAATGTTAATTGAACATAGAATATACAACAGTACAGCACAGTACAGACCCTTCAGCCCACGATGTTGTGCCGACCTATTAGCCTACTAATATCAATCTACCCTGCCTACCCTACCTTTTACTATCCTCCATGTGCCTATCCAAGAGTCGATTAAAAGTCTCTAAAGTATCTGGCTCCACTACCACTGCTGGCAGCGCATTCCACACGCCCACCACTCTCTGTGTGAAGAAGCTACCTCTGACATCTTCCCTATACCTTCCTCCAATCACCTTAAAATTATGCCCCCTTGTAATAGTCATTTTCGCACCCGGCCCATAGCCTTGAATGTTATGACGTTTCGAATTATACTCAATGACTGGGAAAAAGTCTCTGACTATCACTCTATCTATGCCTCTCATCATCTTGTACACCTCTCTCCAGTCACCTCTCATCCTTTTTCGCTCCAATGAAAAAAGCCCTAGCTCCCTCAACCTTTCCTCATAAGACCTGCCCTCTAGTCCAGGCAGCATCCTGGTAAATATCCTCTGCACCCTCTCTAAAGCTTCCACATCTTTCCTATGGTGAGGTGACCAGAATGGAACACAATATTCCAAGTGTGGTCTAACCAGAGTTTTACAGAGCTGCAGCATAATCTCGTGGCTCTTAAACCCAATTCCCCTGCCAATGAAAGCCAACACACCATATGCCTACTTTACAACCCTATCAACTTGGGTAGCAACTTTGAGGGATCTATGGACGTGGACCCCAAAATCCCTCTGTTCCTCCACACTGCCAAGAATCCTGCCATTAACCCTGTATTCTGCATTCAAATTCAACCTTCCAAAATGAATCACTTCACACTTTTCTGGGTTGAATTCCAGTTGCCACTTCTTTGCCCAGCTCTGCATCCTGTCAATGTCAATTTGCAACCTATAACGCAGTCCACAACTCCACCAACCTTCGTGTTATCGGCAAACTTACTAAACCACCCTTTCACTTCCTCATCCAAGTCATTTATAAAGACCTCAAAAGAGCAGAGGTCCCAGAACAGATCCCTGCAGTACACCACTGGTCACCGAGCTCCAGGCTGAATACTTTCCATCTGCTACCACCCTCTGTCTTCTATTGGACAGCCAGTTTTGTATTCAGACAGCCAAATTTCCCTGAATCCCATGCCTCCTTACTTTCTGAATGAGCCTACCATGGGGAACCTTATCAAATGCCTTGCTGAAATCCAGATACACCACATCCACTGCTCTACCTTCATCAATGTGTTTTGTCACATCCTCAAAGAATTCAATAAGGCTTGTGAGGCATGACCTGCCCCTCACAAAGCCATGCTGACTATTTGTAATCAAGCTATGCTTTTCCAAATTATCATAAATACTATCTCTCAGAATGCTCTTCAGTAATTTGCCCACTACAATAGTAAGACTGACTAGTCTGTAATTCCCAGGATTATCCTTATTCCCTTTCTTGAACAAGGGAATGACATTTTCCACCCTCCAATCTTCTGGTACTACTCCAGTGGGCAGTGAGGGTGCAAAGATCATTACTATAGGGGCAACAATCTCTTCCCTCGCTTCTCATGAAACTTTGGTTATATCCTGGCTGGGCCAGGGGACTTCTAGCACGTCCTCCTTCCTAACATCAACCTATTTGAGCATATCTGCCTGTTTCATGCTGTCCTCATGAACGTCAAGGTCCCTCTCACTGGTGAAGCGTTGGAAGAAAAGTATTTATGAAGCAAAGTATTCGTTAAGGACCTCCCCTTAATTAATCTTTAAGGAATGATGTTGCCTCTCAACCAGTGTCAATTGTGAGAGTTGCCTGCATGAAAGTAGACTAAGACCCAAGAACACAAGTATCATTGAGTTGTGCTGAATGCAACAAACTACATCCAATTTGTTTGGACCTTATTGGAGGGAACCCCAGAGTGATCAGAATGTCATTAGTATGCTTCATTATATTATTGCTGCTTCCTTGTATTTGTGTTCCTCAAACATGGCCAGGTTTCAGAGGATGTCATCAGCTAGTTTGACTGTGGGCAAGTGTGAAAGTTAGTGGAATGGATAAATATTGCAGAAAGAAATGAAAGAAGCCATCACTTCAGGTGACACAAACTTTCATTCTCCTTCGGTGTTGAGTATCAATGGAATGGAAGCCTTTTTTATTCACGCAAACACCTGGCTTGCTTCTTGCAATGCTGAGAGTCTTGGATGTGGAGAGAAAGAGTCAATGCTGCAAATCAGACAGCTCTCTAATGGAATAAATGGGAGACTGGCCGGAAACACAAAGAACGAAAACAGAAAATGCTTGAAATGCTTAGAAAGTCAGGCAGCATTTGTGAAAAGAAGCAGTTAATGCTTCGGGTTGATAAATCCTCGTCAGAAATGTCCATGCATTCTGATGAAGGTAATCAACCTGAATATTTTTTACTCTTTCATACAGCATGGACATCACTGATTAAGCCAGCATTTATTGCTGATTCCTAATTGTCATTGGAGTAACAGATAGATCATTTTTCCAGAGAACTTAATCAGATTATTGAGGCAGGATCTGTGTTCCCCGAAAGTGAATTAGTGTCAAACACTCCAAATGATTATAGATCGTAATGTGTTCTCTCCAGAGCCTTGAATGTATTTGTACTGTGCCAAATTAAAGAATTAAGGTGGAATTGGAAGACTGTAAAAATTGAGAAGGGCTGTTGTGGTGCAGCGGTAGTGTCCCTACCTCAGGTTAGAAGGACCTGGTTCAAGTCCTACCTGCTCCATATCTGAACACGTTTATCGGAAAATACCTGTAAAGCACTAATGGTTTATTTTCTGTTGTAGCTTTTGAAACGATAGAATTTATTGTCGAAGAGCCAGAATCTGAAACTACAAAGATAAATCTACCAGTTGTTCGACATGCTGGAACACTTGGTACTGTTACAGTCCAGTGGGTTGCCATGACAAATGATCAGCAAGTTACCGATGATCTTCAGGTGGCCTTGGGTGAGGTGACATTTGCTCCTGGGCAAACTATTCAAAACCTACAATTGGAACTTCGAGCAGATGATTTCCCTGAAATTGAGGAGGTAAAAACATAGGTTTTAAATACTGTAGATCAGCAATTCCAGTAAAGTCTTGAAGTTTTGTTTTACCAATACTTTTTTTTGAGCATTGACAGTGGATATTGTGCACAGTTCCATCACTCAATCACACTTCTTTCACATATCCTTAAATGTGCTTCCAGAACACTCTGCGTAATACTGTCAGCTGTCAATGATTATTTTATTGCTAAAATATAGATTAATAATCTAGAATCTACAACTGATAATGGTAAATGGTCAACTAACTCTCAATCCAATGCTGCCTTGAATCTTGCTTTTGGATTGTTTGAGAGAGAAAGAGAAAGAAAGAGAGAGAAAAACTGAGACTATTAATTTATTAATTAATTGTCAAAAGCAACAAAGCCAGTCAAGGTATTTATTAGTAAGGCAATTCAGCTACTGGATGTCATTGGGGAAGCTCGTTCTGGAGTTTCTTTTGCAGCTTTTTCTATGGTATTTCAAAAGAAAAGGATAAATTTGAAAGAATTTCACCTCTTAGTAAAATAAATTATGATCTGTTTATTGTTGCTGCCTAAAGCAAATGAGGGAAGACATAATGGCCTTAAATGAAATCGTGACATCTGTATTTGAATCATGTAATTCGTTTTGACTGAATAGATTAAAATTGCGTTCTTGGGTTTCTTAAGGTAAGCAATTAATAGATATTGTGGATTTTCACAGTGGAAATATAGTGAAAGGACCCTCGATGCAACATGCTTAATTAATTTCTTTATGGAATGCAGGTATTGTTGGCTAGGCCAGTATTTGTTGCCCATTCCTAATTGTCCAGAGACAGTAACGAGTCAAGAGACCCCAGTGTACACCAGATCAGGTAACATTGGCAGATTACCTTCCCTAAAAGACATTCGGCACATTTGTGGCCTGGATGAGTTTTTGTCACAGTCAACAGTGGTTGTATGTCACCATGATCTCCCTGCTATAGGAAGGATGTTGTGAAACATGAAAGGATTCAGAAAAGATTTACAAGGTTGGAGAGTTTGAGCTATATGGAGAGGCTGAATAGGCTGGGGCTATTTTCCCTGGAGCATTGAGGCTGAGGAGTGACCTTTTAGAAATTTATAAAATCATGAGGGGCATGGATAGGGTGAATAGCCAAAGTCTTTTCTCCAGGGTAGGAGAGTCCAAAACTAGAAGGCATAGGTTTAAGGTGAGAGGAGAATGATTTAAAAGGTACCTAAGGGTCACCTTTTTCATACAGAGGGTAGTGCCTGTATGAAATGAACTGCCAGAGGAAGTGGTAGAGGCTGGTACAATTATAACATTTAAAAGGCATCTGGATGGGTATATGAACAGGAAAGGGTTAGAGGGATATGGCCCAAATGCTGGCAAATGGAACCAGATTAATTTAGGATGTCTGGTCGTCGTGATGAGTAGGACCAAAGTGTCTTTTTCCATGCTCCATCACTGTATGAATCTGTTGGGCTAGTTTTTTTTTTAAATTCTGATTATTTTATTGCATTCAAATTTCACCATCTGCCATGATGAATTGAACCCATGTTCCCAAAACATTAGGCTAGGGTTCTCGATTACCAGACCAGTGACATCAGCACTGCACCACTGTTCCCTATTACTCTGGAATTAATTTTCTCATTAGAATGGTTCAGAGTGATTGTTACTTTGACCTACTTTGTCTTCAGTGAGAAAACTCTTGCTGGAAAAAGACCAATAACAGTGCGTGGACGTGGAAAGCCTGTTTGTCCACCCTTCATAATACAACAAGAGGAAAAGGAAATGGGAGAGTATTCACCTTTACCTTACTCCTCTGATGTTGAACGAGTACTTGTGGTCATACTGGTCTTGATGCAGCAGCTGGAGCCATAGCATGAGGCTCTGAAGATGTTAATATGGTGCTTTGGGATTCCATACTGCCTTGCGATTAGCAAAGTGACTGCTGATGGATATTATCAAAAATCTTCTTGAAATCAATGAAATTGAGCAGGAAATGATATGAGTACACAAACTTCTTCCACCTCATTGGTACTGAACTTGAGATGGTAGCAGCTTTCCTTTGGAGAAGACCCTGATGGGTAGGATCACAATGATGTGGACTGGATTTTGTGAATCCGCTGGTGTAGGCAAAATAGCAAGCGGACTCAGAGAGTCATGCACAAGGCTGCATGTCAGTTCCCTTTGCACAAAAACGGTTACAAATTGTGTCTGTGACGGAAGGGTACGCAAGTGGGAAACGAATTTACAACAACACGGGCCTCTGACACATCTAGGAGTTTCTCGAACCAGGAAGATTCTTACTTACAAATGTTTGAGAGACACAGTATTTGAGGAGACCGTATCTACCCAGGGAAACAGTTAGAGAATTATACCCCAGTATGCAGGATGACCTCAGTTCAAGCAGCAAAAATCAGAAATTGCTGGAAAATCTCAGCAGGTCAGGCAACATCTACGGAGAGAAAGCAGAGTTAACGTTTCAGATCCAGTGACCCTTCTTCAGGACAGAAATTTCTATTTCTGATTTCCAGCACCTGCAGTTCTTTGGTTTTCAGTTCACGGAATGCTTTGGGCATCCTATGCCAGTAGCACTGTAGGTTACTGAAACTTATGACTTCCATGCAGTGAATCTTTCCAGGGATCTGCAGGGGATATTTGCAGCATTGCCCAACTAACCACTCACTGCTACACCAAGGAGGCGATAAATGCACAATACAAGAATCTTAGAGAATTCATAATATTCTGGATCAGTGAGGACAATGTAGACTGAAAGGGCAATGGGATCTGGAACTATTACCAGCTTTTCACCTCTTAAAGGCACCAGTCTGCATTGAAGGGGTTGAAACTTGAAGTTAGATTCAGTAACTGAAATGGCTTCTGTAATCTACAAGTCAGATGTTGCTCCCACAAGTGAAATCAGCACACAGAACAGTTCCTTTGACTGCGTGAAGTCTCCTTTGATTCACTTTTGGAACCTTTGAGGTTGTGGTTCTTCATAGCCTGGTTCAAGGCAGCAGTCCTTTAAGTGTTTTTTTTCTTGATACCTTCCTCTGTCCCTGTTGTGAAGTAGTTGCTGGTTCAAGATGTTTCTCTTATGTTGTCCGTATGGTCCTTCTTTGAAATGGCTGTACTCAGCGAACTTTTATCAGATAAAACAATATGATTGCAAATGTTAACTTTAATGAATTGTTGTTCCACAGAACAATTATACTGGTTTTCTTTGTGATGTCCTTCCTAACTCCAGTTCAACACTATAAATAATAAGTTGAGTTCTCACAACTTTCTGAATATTCAGTGGAAAGTCCTGGAGTCCTTGAATTATTTAATTTGCCCTTTGTTACTGACTGTTAAGATAAAGGTCTGTCTGATCTTGACAGCTGTTGAATCACCAAGAAAAGACCTATGGCTTTTGGGAACCACTTTGCAAAACTGTTTATGTTTATTTTAGGCACAGATTAGCTTTCTTTAACCAAATATACAATGATATAACTAAGCATTTTTGACAATAGAGAGAGAACCTATTCATTTAATGTGCAGTTAATCTGAGACTGCAAGAAGAGAAGTCATATGAATCTGTGCTTACTTTCCTAACAGCAACACCAGCATCTAAGTGCTTTTACACGCACTGGTGCATCATTAGCTTACGCCAATGACATAAATTGTTGCGTGGATCCTTGCTGACAAGGTACTGTCATCGCACATGATTGCTGATGCTTGTCAGAACTCCTTGCAGTGAGTCTGAAGAGAGGTCTAGTCCGCTAGTCGCAACACAAGGAACATTGTAGATTGAATTATTGCTTGGTTGAAGATGTGTTTCTGCTGCCTCGTTCATTGTAAGGGCACTGTCCAGTATGACAGGTCTCAATTGAGAAACCTAATTTCAGATTGATCGCCAGTCAGAGATTTGCAGAGTCTCGCTTCGTTGGTTGCTGCTCTGCATCATCTTCCCTTAATTTTTGATTGACTTTAACAACTGGGAATTAAAATACCTTAGGCCTGAAACGTATGATAGTGAGTGCATTTTGTAAACTACCCACTTGTCTATTCACAATCTACTCTAGTTTCGAATTAACCTGATTGTTTGTTTCTCTATAGCCTCCTGAAAGAGCCAGAAGTAGTCACCTTGTGTGTGTTTTAACTACCAAAACACAAATCAGCTGTAAGATCCCCTAGCTTGTGTTGAGTCTTCCTGGAACACTGCAGTGGACCTGAGACAGACATAGAAGTGGCAGGAAACTGGACGCTCGGAGAAAAGCTCAGGGTCATTGTTACTTACAGAAAGTAGGTGTTCTGCAAAGCAATCACCCAATCAGTGTTACATCTCAACAGTGTAGAGGAGACCACATTGTGAGCAGTGAACACAGTAGAGTAGATTGAATGAAGTGCACGGTGTGTGGAGAGGTGTTGCGAGCGGAGGAGGAGGAGCGGGCCAGGGTGTCTCAGAGGGAACCCTCCTTATAGAATGCTGACAAGGGAGGGGAGGGGAGAAGAATATGTGTCTGGTGGTTGCAACCTCACACTTCTCACTCAAGTTGCTCTAATTCCTCCATTCATCAACCTCTGATGACAGAGATGGCGAAGCATCAGGAGATCATGTGACATTTGAAGTGTACATGTACCTCTGTGTGGTACTGGCATTACCATAAAACTGTTAGCAGGTGACAACATGTGTGCTCAGTTGCCTGTTTAAAATTCAATTTGGATCAGTTTGCGATATAAAAGATATTCATACTTTCCACAGTTATCACAAAACATCAGTTTTAGAAATCTTTTTCAATCCCTCTCTTGACTCCTCTGTGCTCACCTCCAACAACTAGAAGGAACTCAAGAACTCCTTTGTCTTTCAGATTATTGTCATGTGGTCGGCTGCCTGTCACTTCCCTTTTTCTTAATCCACCAGATCAAACTTCCTCCATGAATTTCCTATATGCTGTAGCTCTAAATTTGCAAGTTTTTAAATTTCCTTCTACACCTCTGAGCACATTTTATTCTCAAATCTGCATTGACTAAAAAGGGTCTAGGCCCGAAATGTCAGCCTTCCTGCTCCTCTGATGCTGCTTGGCCTGCTGTGTTCATCCAGCTCTATACCTTGTTATCTCTTGACTAAACTGCCGACCATTTACCTTCCCTTCATGGCTCCAGTGTTAGTTGATGATGGTAACAGTTCTCCCTCTTCAGGTAGTGTCCTTTTCCCCTTCAAATCTACTGATAATCTCTCTGCAAAACAAGACCAAAATGATTTTTAACAGTCAAAATGTAAGCAAAATAGTTTCTGCACACAGGACTTTCGAGAAACTAAAAGCTGAATTTTCCACTTAAAGTTTTGAATCTAGGAGACTGAATGGAAAATGTAACTTTGAAGTGATTTTAAGGTGCCTTATAAATTAATTTCAATGCAAATTGTTTTCCTTTACAGACCATCCAAGTAAAACTTACCAGTTCTACTTATGGAAGCTCCATTGGGAGGAATAATGTGGCAAGTATTATTGTTCCAGCCAATGACAACCCACACGGTACTGTTTATTTCACACAGAAAGTGTACAGAGTGCAGGAACCACTGGAAGGAAATTCCAAAATAAACATCACTGTGAAAAGAAGGTGTGCAATAATCTGTGAAAGTTAGCTGATTAATCTTTTTGTGATATTTGGGGTACACTATAATGGGCCATATTTTGAAAAGGATAACAGTGAGCTTTAACAAAGCTCATCATTATAATGGAGAAGGTCTGCCAATAATTTTTGAATTTCACATTTAACTCTGCACTTGTTTAGACAGTAACATCTGGAATAATATCTGCTCAGTTAAATGCAGAATTCCAAAATTGCCATCAGTGATACTCTGCTCATCCACAGGGTGGTCTGTTGCACTCTTCACTGACAGACTTGACATTAAAGTGAGTGCAACAGTGTGAATTGTGCTGTTTTCTCATTAGTTCCATAGTAAAATAGGCTGAAACAGTTGGGGCTAAGAATGAGCTTTGATAGCTTGGTAAGTGATGAGAACATAAAAATCAAAATCTCTGTGCTTGAAAATTTGAATTGACAATTGTGAGCTTTAATATCCCAAGAAGAAGATTAGCAGATTTGGTAATTAGATCTTTTCAAATATGTACATTACTGTGTTTCTTCTATCTCTTAGTACTATCTGTCTTTCCAAATTTTTTTTTGCTTTCTGTGCATCATTCATGTCTAAATTATCTTTCCTGCTTTATGCTTCCTGTGTTGGATTCTGCATGTGCAGTGAAGATTCTTCAGTCTATTTGGTTGAAGAGTCGCATTGTTTCTTGCCCTGCTTACAGACAATACAGATCCCTTGTAGATCTTATCTACTGGATCAGGTGCCAAATTTGGTCAAATCTGTACTCTAGAAGCTGAGCAAATTTTGCAGGCAGCTGTCAGTGAGGTGAATGATGAATGACATCCCTTCTTCACCACTGTTTGCAAAATCTTGGCTCATGCAATAAATAATAAAGAGCAACAACTAAAATACAACACGTTGCTCCTTCATATTTGTTCATATTTTTGGCTGTGTAGTCAGAGGTAACATTGCAGGCCCAACTGCTTTACTGGAGTATAACTGGGCATCTTATTTGAGTTGTATATGTAAAAGAGTCAATTTTGAGTTTCACTACAGAATATTGGGAATCCTAATTTAAATACATACTTATCATTGTCAGTGTTTGTTTTTCAGACTGAAAAATAATGAACAGTTTGTGTTCAATTTAATGAGTTGAAAATTAAACTAACAACAATTGTATGTAGAAGCATCATGATCGTATGGTGCTGCATTTGGAATAATACGATTGTAAGGTAAAAATCCCAGAATATGTGGCTTGAAACAATTACAAATATTATTACCCCTTGCCTTGGATTTTTCTTTTAATCGGAAAAGAACAGCAGGATCGCAGTTGAACATAGTCGATAGTTTCCCTTGAGTAAAAATGACTTTTACATTCCTGAGGGCAAGTACAATCCTTGGTTTTTCATTCTTCACTACCATCTTTCCTTAAATTCCTTTTCCCTGCACCCACCGTACTCAAATCTTAAAAGTGCGCAGAACTTATGGAAATCATTTAAGACCATTTGTTCAACTGCCTCTGTGTTATTCCTTGACCTCTAGCTCCATCTTTCCCTGAATCTACATCAGATTATCCAGTTTATTTCCACACTTTCCTGCCTTTTCTGAATTCATTATGTCCATCTCCCAGTTCCTCAACCATATTCCCTCTAAACTACGAACTATACAACTTCCTGTTCTGACCTCATGATGGATGACCTTGTGAATTTTCCCTATAATCATTAATTGTCCCTCCCTTTCAAATCTCTTATCAACATCATTTCATCAAGACCAGTGAGCTTCAGACCTCTATTGATTGAAATATAAATGGAAGAGCTGAATTCCAAGTTTCAAAGTGAGAGTGGATGCCCTTGCCATTAAAAGCAGTGTTTGTCTGGGTATGTTACTAAGGAGCACGAGTAAAATTGACATCCATGGAATGGAGTTATACCCGGCATAAGGCAAAATGATTGCTCTTTTTGGACATCAATCATCTCAGCCCTAGGACATGGCTGTAGGAGTTTCTCAAGATAGTTCCCTTGTCCTAGTTTATGATCAATTACTCAAATTTTAATCTTCTATCAAAAGAGGTGATGCTTGCTGAGGTTTACAGAGTGTTTAGTTCTATTTGCAACTCCTTAAATCTTGAAACGTTGGTGCCTTTGAGCTGTTTGGATAGGAATATGAGTCAATTTTTGGCTGATATGTGGCCAGAAACATTTGGACCACATAAGTATCAGATGTCTTCAATAGGAGAGGTGCTGATAAAATTTGAAACTCTTTCAGCAAGTTCACGGCTGCAGGGTGGATGAGTTAATTGCCCATATTAGTGTGGCACAGGGAACAATTCAAATGGGATGGGGGGGGGGTGTCAAAAGGATTGAGATGTTGATAGGAGATAATATTATTGTGGTCTCATAGTAAAGCCACCTCTAGGTAGTGGCAACCCTAATATTATTGACTTTTACATTCCGTTTGAGAGAAAGGCAAGTATGTTCAAAACTTGTGAAATAAACTTAAATATGGACAATTATGCGGTCATGAAAGCAGAGCTACCCAAAGTGAATTGGAAAATTAGATAAAGGGATGGGTCAGAAGAGATGAAGTAGCAGAATTTTAAAGGGTTATTTCAATACACAGAATAGATATATTCCTACAAGAAACAACAATTCGAAGGGGAGGACCTGCCATCCGTGGCTAACGACAAAATGTGATTGAACGTCAGGTGCTCCTTTAGAAAGTGGCTGGAGAATCAATAATGAATAGTAAGTCGATGGCAGATGAACTGAACAGGTATTTTTCATCCATCTTCACTCTGGAAGATGTAAGTAACATCCCAGAAATAGGTGTAAATTGTAAAATGGAAGGAATAGGAGAACTGAAGAAAATTGTGATCACCGGGGAAGTGGTACTGAGCGAAATTTTGGAACCATGGGTGAGAAGACCCTAGGTCCTGATGGATATCATCCGAGGGACTTACAAAAAATGGCTTGTGAAATAGTTGATGCATTGGTTTTAATTTTCCAAAATTGCCTTGATTTGTGAACATTCCATTAGCTTGGAAAACGCTGAACCTAATTTTTGTTTATTGAGAAAGGGAGATGGAAAGCAGCGCATTATAGGCCAGTTATCTTGCCATTAGTCATAGGGAAGATGTTAGAAGCTGCTGTTAAAGGTTTATAACAGTCTGATCAAAAAGTTCAAGACAATCAAGCAGATTCACATGGTTTTCTGAATGGAAAATATTTTTAGCCAACTTATAGAAGAACTGTCTTAGCGAACATTTGTAGCTCGGGTCGTGGATGCAGTTGTTTGTTAGCTTACTGAGCCGGTTGTTCTGTGGTGTGCAGACATTTTGTTACCCTTCTAGGCAACATCATCAGTGTGACCTCTAATCGTTGGTCTTCTGCTTTCTTCTAGATTTATATGAACCTCTGGTGTGATAGTCTTGTCACTTCCGGTTCTGTTTTAGCAGCAGTCTATGTACGAGGTCTGTTTCTGTGTGTTTGTTAATGGAGTCCCAGTTGAGAACCAGACTTCCAGAGATTCCCTTGCATGTCTGGTGTTCACTTGTCCCAGTATAGTCACTTTCTCCCAGTCGAAGTGATGGCCCTCATTGTCTGTGTGTATTGAGACAAGTCAATATTGGTTGTGTATTTTTACTGCCAGCTGATCTTCGTGTGTCCTGGTTGTCAGTTTCCTCCCTGTTTGTCCAAAATAATATTTATTGCACTCACTGCATGGTATTCTGTATATCACGTTAGTCTTGTTGACTGTTGGTATGGGATCTTTAGTTTTTGATAACATTCTTAGACATAATGGTAGAGAGATTGACTAACGGCGAATTCCAACCCGAGTATACAGGAAGGCTGCACACATGGACCAAATCCTTGACTTCAGTACCCTACCATACATAAACATAGCTGCATGAAGACACTACTTAAATGAGCCGCATCACATTGCAACACCCCAGAACTCTGGAGAATGGAAGATGAACACCTACACAAAGTTTTCACCGACAACGGATACCCAAGAAGTTTCGTCCAAAGATGCCTATAAAACAAATGACAGTTAGCGGACACAGTACAATGGAAGACACTACTAACGCTACCGTACATCAATAATATATCAGAAATGACTGCCAGACTCCGAAGACCACATAAGATCATGATTGCACTCAAACCTACAGCAACACTGCGCCAAATGTTATCAAAGACGAAAGACCCCATACTGATAGCAAACAAAATCAACGTGATATATAGAATACCATGCAGCAAATGCAATAAGCATTACATTGGACAAACTGGGAGGAAACTGATGATCAGGATACACGAACACCAGCTGGCAGTAAAAATACACAACCAACATTCACTTGTCTCAATACACACAGAAAATGAGGGCCATCAGTTCGACTGGGACAAAGTGACTATACTGGGGCAAGTGAACATTAGACATGCAAGGGAATTTCTGGAAGCCTGGTCCTCATCACGGGACTCCATTAACAAACACATAAGAAATAGACCCTGTATACAGACTGCTGCAAAACCAACAGAACTGGAAGCGACAAGACTATCACACCAGAGGATCATATAAATCCAGAAGAAAGCAGAAGACCAACGATTAGAGGTTGCACTGATGATGTTGCCTAGAAGGGTAACGAAATGTCTGCACACCACAGAACAACTGGCTCAGCGAGCTAACAAACAACTGCTTGTGGAAGAAATGCTTGCTGGGATGAAGAGAAACCAATGTATGTACTGTACTTAGATTTCTGGAAGTTTCTTAATACAGTGCCACATCAGAGGTTCTGTTGGAAAATAAGACCTCATGGTATGGGCATACAGGGAACAGAGATTATGAATGATTGGGCAGTTTTTTGATTGGTAAAATTTAACAAGTGGTGTGCCACAGAAATCAGTGCTGGGACCTCAACTTTTTACAATTTATATAAGTGACTTGGAATGAAGCAATGACAGTATGGTTATTAAATTTGGTGATGAAAGTAGGGTAGGAAAGTGAATTGTGAGAAGGACGTAGGAGACTGTGAAAGAATATGGAAAATTTGAGTGAGTGGGTAAAAATCTGGCAAATGAAGTATAACGTGGGAAAGATGTGAAATAGTTCATTTTGGCAATAATAAAAAGCAGCATATTATCTAAATGGTGAGAGATTACAAATCTCTGATACGTAGAGGGATCTGTGTGTTTTCGCGCATGTTACAAAACGAGAGATTGCTGATTTACGACAGATGAGGAGACATATTTTCTCACAGAGGGCTGCAAGTCTTTGGAACTCTATCCCAAAAGGTGGAGGAAGCAGAGTCTTTGAATATATTTTGAGGCAGACGATGCGTAGATTCTTGTGTATAAATTCTGGATAAGGAGTTGAAATATCAGGAATACTAAGCACTTTAGCGTGTCAGATAAGATATGATCTTATTGAATGGTGAAGCAAGCTCAAGGGGCCTACTCCTGCTGATTGTTCTTATGAAGCACCTGATAATTTTTTTGACAATATAGGTGCTAAATAAGTGCATGTTGATATTTATGATCAGTTGCCGTTAAGCAGCATATAAAACGCGAGCGTTGTTGTGATACTGAAGCTAATCCGGATTGGAAACATTAATCTTGAGATATATTTAACAGAAACTAAAAATAGTGTGTAAACAAGGTGCCTATATGTATTTTCTAATCCAGTGTTCAATTGTGCTTGCTTTCCCTGTAGTGGAGGCCGTTTTGGGCAACTGCGGATATTTTACAGCACCTCCAAAATTGATTTTGTGGACCTTCTGGTGAAAGAAGGACAGGACATTTTCTCTTATTACGAACCACCAATCACTGGAGTTGCAAGTGGCCAGCCTATTCTTCATGAAAATGTTTCTCTGACGAGGAATGCTTTTCATATGTGTGCAGCTATTTGTCTCAAGGAAGAAGCTTGTTCAGCCTTCTCATTTACAAATATCTCTGGGATAGCCCAATGTTCCTGGATAGCTTCATTGTCGAACATACTGACCAACAGTACAGAATTCATAATCTATCGCAAGAACAGTTCAAGTATATCGGCTCTGCTGAGTACGCAGGCAACAGCTGGCAGTGACTATGAGCCAGTCACTGGGTTATGGGCGAGCATGCATGATGGAGAAGAGTTTGCTAATCTCTCGGTTACAATTCAAACTGACAGTGCACCGGAATGTGATGAAAAATTTTCCATTTTGCTTTCAAATGTGGAACTGTTGAATGGAACGGTCATCCCAGCAAACCAGCCCACAATTGGCCAACCAAATATCTCCACTATTGTAATAGCTATGAATGGAGATGCATTTGGGATCTTTTTGATTTACAGTACACATCCGAATGCCACAGATGAAGGGAGTTATCTTGAAGTAATGGAAGCAACTCAGACAACAGTGCAGCTGGTCATAGATAGGAGTGGTGGGAGTCTTGGTGAGGTAACAGTGGAGTGGCGCGTGGTTGGTGGCACGGCTACAACAAGCATTGATTTCATTGGTGATGGCGAAATTTTAACATTTGGAGAAGGTAAAGAAGTTATATGTGTGTGAATTAATGTGTATTCTCTTGATGATTTCATTATTGATAGCCCATCTTGTATTTAAACTTAACATATATTTTTGAAACCCCCCTCTATTACATATGACAATTTAATGACCTTTTGTATTTTTCTCTTAGCATGGACTTTTGTTACCCTTTTTCCTAATCTTGGGTTGAGATGTATCAAATAATATGCCTGGAATATTTTGCATTGAATTTATAGCATAGAAGGTTTGTGTTGGTGTTTATTCCCCAAACCAGCCATACTTTCTCTCATCTTATCATCATATCCACCTTGATATTTCACTCTTTTGCATTTACCCAGCTCTCTCTTAAATACATATATGAAATTATGCTTTGATCCCAGCTGATGGTAATGTAGTACAAGTCATTCCAGTACGAAACTTGGCCTGTTGGATCATTTGTTTAATTTTTGCATTACCATGGTTACCATGATGGTTAGTCAATGAAACATTCATGGGAGGCTGCAGACATTTCTTAACAACAAAACATGAATTTAATACGTAAAATGAAGAAAGAAAGATCAAACAGACCTATATGTAAAACTGTTGGAAAGCCTTAACATAAACAGCAAAGCAGTACTTTAACCTGTTTCCCAACATTTTTTTTTACAAATACTCAATTCCAGAGAAATTTCATTCCTTTCTCAATTTTTTAAGCTTTTACTTAACTGGGTTTTTCCAGTTTCTTTTACTGTAGTGTGGGGCAATATAAGATTGTTTTCTGAGTCCACTGGTACAAAACTTTCACAATTCTGATTAACCTTTACTTTTTCAGTTTGAATAATTTGAAGATTTCTGTCCAAACTCTGCTGACTTGTAAATCCACAAACTGAAAGACTTTGGCTAGGATGTCTGCTTCCCTTGAACTTCCGGATTCTCCTGTTGGGAGAAACTGTTCCAGATTCTGAACTGAAACCACGAAACTTCTCTTCTGAAGTCAAAACTAAACTAATGGTCTTAATGTGGTTATTTTCTCTGTCATAAACTCAACAGTGCAAGCATTTTATCCATTTTATCCAGTAGTTCAGCCTGAGTCTTAACTGCAGCCACATACTTGCTTGAATTTGAAGCACTCCATTCATTACTGACCTGTCATTTAAAAAAAACTTCTCAGAATTGACTAATATCCAACTGTCTCTACTTTAAAAGCCAAAACAAAATATTGAGGTAAGTCTTGATTAAACTGTACAAGGCAATAATTGGACCACACCTGGAATACTGTGAACATTTTTGATCTACTTATCTAAGGAAAGATATATTGGCATTGGAGACATTATAGAAGGTTCACTAGACTGATCTTGGGTACGGAAGGTTTGATTTATAAGGAAAAGTTGAGCAGGTTGGGTGTGTACTGATTAGAATTTTAAAGAATAAGAAGTAACCTTGTTGAAGTATACAAGATTCTTAAAGAGGTTGACATGGTAGGTGCAGAAAGATTATTTCCTCCTGTGAGAGAGTCAGCGATCAGTTGGCATAATCTCTGAATAAGGGGCTCCCATATAAAACAGAGGTGAGGAGGAGCTTCTTCTCTGAGAAGGTGGTGAATCTGTGAAACTCTTTACCACGGAAGATTGTTGAGGCTGGGTCACGCATTTTATTCAAAGCTGACTAGACAGATTTTTAATCAGTAAGGGAATTGAGGAACATAAGTAAAGGTAAAGCCAAGGCTGTCCTACTAGACTATAGGGCTGCTGTCTCATTCAAGATTTACCAGGATGTTGCCCGGACTGGAGAGTTTGTGTTATAAGGATAGGCTGGATAGGCTAGGACTTTTTCCCTGGAGCATAGGAGGTTGAGGGGTGATCTTACAGAGGTTTATAAAATCATGATGGCCATAGATAAGGTCTTATGCCCAGGGTGGAGGAGTTCAAAACTAGGGTCCATATTGTTAAGGTGAGAGGAGAAAGATTTAAAAGGGACCTGAGAGCCAAGTCTTTTACACAGAGGGTGGTTCGGTGGCTCATTGGTAAGAACTTATGCCTCGCAGCGCCAGGGACCCAGATTCGATTCTAGACTCAGGCAACTGTCAGTGTGGAGTCTGCACATTCTCCCCATGTCTGCGAGGGTTTTCTCCAGGTGCTCAGGTTTCCTCCCACAGTCCAAAGATGTGCAGGTTAGGTGGATTGGCCTTGCTAAATTGCCCATAGTGTCTTGAGCGGAAAATACAGGGATGGTGTAGGGGGGTGGGTCTGGGTGGGATGCTCCTCAGACGTTCGGTGTGGACTCAGTGGGCTGAATGGCCTGCTTGAATGGCCAGAGGAAGTGGTAGATTCAGATATAGTTACAACTTTTAAAAGACATTTAGATAGCTACGTTAATAGAAAATGCATTCAGATGGGACACGTTTAGTTTGGGAAACTTGGTTATCATGGATGAGTTAGATTGAAGGGTATGTTTCCAAGCTCTATGACAGTATGACTCTATGACTGGTGGTGGTTTAACTTGAGGCTCACCACTCCTCAGGTGAGGGGAGAGGTTGAGAACGAGAATCCTTCATGGTAACTTCAGCAGATGTGGGAATTGAATCCATGCTTTTGGCATCACTGTTCATCACAAACCAGCCAACTGGCCCCATGTGAGGTATATGGGGAAAAGAAGAAAATGGAGTTGAGAATTCTTAGATCAACCATAATCTCATTGAATGGTAGAACAGATTCAGTGGGTTGACTGGCCTACCTCTGCTCCTACATCTTATGATTTTATGTTTATTTGAATATATATTGTGTACGTCTCATTTTGTAGTAGGTAGCAGAAATAATTTTCATGCCACTTTCCTTTTTTAAGTACATAAATTGTATTAATAATGGACTTTTATGGGATATTGTATAATAGTTTCAAATCATTTGAGATATTCTCATAAAATTTCAACACAAAATAATCCTTTTGCTTTAACAGATGTGTAGTGTTTCAGAATTTCCTTCATAATTACCTGGAATGGAAAATGGTTACAGTAGTTTTGCACCCTACTTTAATCATAAAACATAAGTAAATAAATCAGGAAAATCAAAAACAAACTTCTGTTGTAACTCTTTGTTCATATGCAGGTGAGGATAGGAGACTTATCACATTAACAATTGTCGATGATGAAGAACCAGAAGACAATGAAACCATTCTAGTCCGTCTAACGCATACTGAGGGTGGCAGTCGTATTCTGCCCAGCTCTGACACTGTCACTGTGGTCATATTAGCCAATGATTATGTTGCAGGAGTAATTAGTTTTCACGCATCCTCCCGGTCTGTAATTGGACATGAAGGTTGGTTTCTGTGTGTAATGACAACCATTCTCATAATCATCAATTTCTATAGTGCCACAGTCTTCCTAAGCCTTGCTTTACTATTTTAGCTATTGACAGGTACTTTTTCCTCAATTCTTGTTTTATAAAAATGGAGGTGAATAGAATAATAACCAACTTTCTACATGTATGTAAAGTTGAAAAATTGGTGGATTTTGTGACAAGTTGCTTTTATTTTATTCTCTTGGTACTCTAACTAGATAAATTTTAATCCTTGATCCTTAAAGATTTGAAAATTTTCTTCACCAATTTATGAATTTCAGTAAGGCTCACAAATAATGTGCAAAATTTTAAAAGAAAATCCTCTCCCAGGTAAACCTTAAAATGACGTTTGACTCATAGCAAAAAAGCAATCCAAATTTTGTTTGTTTGTAATGTTAAAAGGACAGGCAGCCGTGTATAATCAACATCAAGCAGCAGGATGTCTTTGGCTTCATTCCAGTTGGAGGCTGAAAAATGAAGAGTTACTAGTGTCTGTTGTTTTGCTGCATTTCAACAGGATGAAAGTATTTTTCTTAAGGACTAATCCATGCCATGCTTCTTTCTTGGATTTTAGTCCAGGGATTATACCTTGTCCTGTCAGGAGATTATTATATATCATGTTTGACAAGCTTAAATTGACTACGTATTTAGGGTCTTTGAACATTGATACTTTTACAGATTACATATAAGGGTTTATTGCTGCTCAATACTTCTTATGAACAGTATATTGATAATCACTAATAATTTTTAACATGATTTATAATATGTAGGAATGCTCATGGGCCATCTATATTTGTCATTTTTCCATAAGAATAATGAAATGTTCCCATCCCTGCTAACTGTAAAAGATTAAAAATTGATTGTTTAATTTGTAATCCAAAAAGTGAATGGAAATTTGAACCAACCCTACCCAGTATTAATACTTCTGTAAAAATGATGAAATTCTTACAGATGGCTCAGGATTTTAAAAAAATACAATGTCTTCAGTTTAGCTATTTAAAGATATGATTTATACTGATATTTTTACAGTGTGGTGTTTTTGCATTAATATTTCTGTTTAGCCTGTCACTGCTGCAGCTGAAGTAAAGCTCTGATTGACCAGATTAAAAAAAGCAGTTTTGATTAAAATGAAGATAAATCTTGAGAATGCATTGGCTTTTAAATAACAGTAAATATAATGTAAGTTGAAAGTTATTTTAGTCCAAGAAGACCTTACAGGTTTCAGTTCTATCTGATTAGCTTCAAATAAGAGTACTGTCGCATGATAAGTGGTATTGTGTTTGTTATTGAACTAGAAAATGAGTAGTCTGGAGCGTCAGACTAATTATTCAGAGATTAATGTTCTCTGCCATTTAGTTTGTTGAATGATTTTTATCATTAATGTTGACAGTTGGGGAGAGATGTCAAAGAGGAGTCTCCAGTTCTGTGTTCAGCAGTACAAGTGACCTTTATTCAGGGGTCTTTTACCACATGTGTGGGAGAGGCCAGGAACCACTCTGAATCTGGCTTTCACATGGAGCCCAGTTGCCCTCATAATGACAGCTCACATTGGAGATCAGTGACACTCTACCTTTCCTAATAAAGTACAGGATATTTATACACACCGTGTTACTGTGGTTGCATGCAACATTGTCACAACCCCTTTGACCTACACTTCCAATTCTGTGGATACGTGATCAATGATGGACAACTTTATGGTCCACCTTAGGTTCCCCATGATCTCATGATGTTTGCCAGACATTGTTATTATCAGGCCTTGGGATCTTACAATGTATCCCATTAATTTACATTCCAGCACAGATTGTTATGTCCCTTCCTAGACATTCGCCAGTTGCATCATATACTTGATTATTACTAAAGACTTTTCAAATTTGGTCGTACAATTCATATACCATGCTGACCTTATCATAGAAGATTAAAAAGGATGTCAATTTCTACCAGTTGTTGTAATATTTGTAATATCAGCTGTACCATAAAGTTAATTATAAAGTTATACATAGTTACACCTAATACTACAATTCTGTCACAAGCTAACAATTTCAGAAGCAGCTTTGCTCTTATCCAACTTGGAAAAGTCAAACAAATCCAGTCTCTGTATAGCAGCTGCCTTTTACAACTTCTATTTTGTATACTGTAAGATGGTTTAAAATAGAAATTTGATAACAGGATGGACTTTATTGTCATGATTCTTTAGGCTGTTCGTTAGGTTCAAAGTGGCGATTGTTAATTCTTTCGTGGTCAGAGTGACATAAGTGGTTCACAATTGTTTCTGCCCCACCTTTCCACCGCTTGCTACGTTATTTCTCTCTTGCTTCTCTTATGAGATTATCTGGTTTGCAGTTTTTTGTTGTTCTAATCTTCCTGCAAGGGTGTTTATTAAAACCAGTCTCTGTTAATTGTGGGATCATACCTTTCTTTTAATTCTTGCTAAACTACAAACTTTGGGCCATCTGTTCCCAAACATCTACTATCATACTGCCTCTTACAGATATCTGCAGAACGTCCTGTATTTTAATTTGTAAGATTCTTTGTTCTTTCTGTTACCGTGAGTTTATCTTCTTCTCAAAGCTACCATTATCCTAACTAATGATTTCACTTTAATTCTGAACCTAGCAAGTTAGTTAGGTTATTACAGCTAAAAATCTTTTCAGCCATTTTTATGCCAACTAAAAATCCATAGCCATCTTGTGCCACCTCTGGCCATGGGCTGCCCCAGCAATGATCATGTAACTACATGATTGCCATAAAACCCTATAAATTTGTTTAATATACTGTAAGGAAGAAAATATGCCCCATCTGGTCTTTGTGCCTCCGCACCTAAAGGAGTATGGTTGACTCTTAATAGGCTTCTGAAATAGCCTAGCAAGTCATATATTTGTCAGTCACCTTTTTCAAGGGCAGTTAGAGACGTGCAATAAATGCTGGCCTTTGTCCTGTGAGTGAATGAAACAAAAAATATTAATGGCAAAAATATAAAAGCATAGAAACTAGGAGCAGGAGTAGGCCATTCAACCCTTCAAGCCAGCTCCGCCATTCACTATAATCATGGCCGATCCTCTACTTCCATTCCATATTCTTGCTTTCTCCCGAAATCCCTCAATAACTTTAATATTTAAAAATATATCAATCTCTTTCTTGAATGTATTCAATGACTTAGCCTTCACAGCCTTTTGTGGTAGAGAATTCCACAGGTTCTTGAACCTTTGAGTGATTCCATTTTTCCTAACCTCAATTTTAAATGGTCTACTGCATATCCTGAGATTCTGTGTCTTTATTCTAGATTGAGCAAACCTATGAAAACATCCTCCCTGCATCTTGTCTGTTTAGACTCGTTAGAGTTTCTCATACATTTCAATCAGAATGTCTCTCATCCTTATGATTTATAGTGAATACAAGCGCCATTGAACTAATCTCTCCTTATAGGACAGTTCTGCCATTCCTTCAGTTCTGAAGAAGGTTCACTGGACCCAAAATGTTAAATCTCATTTCTCTCCACAGATGCTGCCAGACCGGTTGAGTTTTTCCAACAATTTCAGTTTTTGTTTTTGTTTCCTCTTTTTTCATTCACTCATGGAATTTAAGCATCTCTGTTTAGGCCAGTGTTTATTGCCCATCCCTAATTGGCCAAGGGTAGTTAAGAGTTAACCATATTGTTGTGGGTCTGGAGTCACATGTATGCCAGGCCAGGTAAGGATGACAGATTTCCTTCCCTGAAGGACATCAGTGAACCAGGTGGGTTTTTCCAACATTTGTCAATGGTTTCACAGTCATTGTTAGACCTTAATTCCAGATTCTTTATTTTCTTGCAATGTAGGCCAACACACCATTTATATTTCTCATTGTTTGCTTTCCATCCCTGTCTACTTTTGTTGACACGTGTAACAGTGTTAACACAGTGTGGAGCTGGAGGAACAGGCCAGGCAGCGTCAGAGGATCAGGAAAGTTGACTTTTCGGGTCGGTACCCTTCTTCAGAAATTACTGTTTTATGATTTTTAAAGGGTACCCAGATACATCCAGGAAATGTCAATGGGCAGCAGTCGTAAGGGGTCATGTAATGTAGGTGGAGTGTTGTTGAATTCATATCTTAATATATTTATAATTTGAAATTAGTTGTAATCTAGAAATGCCATGGATAATTTTTAGATTTTCATTATGTATGATCCAAGTAAAATTATTTCAATTTGTAATCTTGCAATGCCATAGAATCCCTACAGTGTAGAAACAGGCCATTTGGCCCAACAGGTCCACACCGACCCTCCGAAGAGCATCCCACCCACACCCATCCCTCTACCCTTTCCCTGTAACCCTACATTTCCCATGGCTAATGCACCTGATCTACACATCGCTGAATTGTATGGGCAACTTAGCATGGCCAATCCACTTAAATGCCATGGATAGTTTTTAGACTTTCATTATGTATGATCCAAGTAAAATTATTTCAGTTTCTTAGATTGTTGCAATAACTTTAGTATGTTGTAAAATAACCGTAAATCTGAATGTTGTTACCTCAGTGGATCAATTTTCAAAAATATACTTATCCTAGATAACACAAACTCTTCCTAATTAGGTGTTACAGGTACATGCTTAAAAATCCTATCTCACAATTTTGAAATATTGCTGGTCAAATGCCTAACAACATTGAAAAAGAATTATTCTGTGATGAACTGTGAGACATTGAATAGGTTAAGACCTGTATATGTAATAGTGTTAATTGATTAAGAAAGAAATGAAATACCTTTTTGGTAACGTACAAAATTATTATGTGTATTTTTATTACAGAATTTTACTTTCAAACTATGTTTGGTGAAATCTGAATGTAGTTGTTAAATATGTGATTCAAGTAGTAATTTTCTGGCTTGAAGCTCCCGTTAAGATTGCCTTTCAGAAATTGCAGTGCATAAATGGTTAGAAAATGATGTGCAAGCCTGGTGTACAATTTGTGATTATGTGTTTAAAGGGAGAAGGTGTCAGGTGCACATGTTCCAATTTCCAGATATGTAGGTTTGTAGAACTGTCATTTATTCAACAATATTTAAAAGCCAATGCAATACTGTATGTACTGGCAAAACTGTTTGAAGGTTGTCTGATGACGTCAATTCTTATCACAATGTGTTTCTGTGATCACTACAATGTAATTGCATCATTTTAAAACATTGCCTTATTTTAGAAAAATCTTTCTCTAAACTTGTTTTATTAAATTTAAACTGAAAAGTCTAATTTATTTGAGCAGAATTATTGCAAATCTTGGGACTAGATTAAACCTGCAACATTTTTAACCATTTTAATGTTTTTAGAAGTGTATTTTTTCACATTCTGTATGTTTAATATAAATAACACTATTGCTAATTTTTTGCATATTTATTTTAGACTGAAATTGTTTTTCAGCATTTAAAAACATTTCTGAAATTGTAAGTTTTCCTTTTGTGATTTTTTTTGATTTGAAAACATGTTTTCACTTGGAACAAACAACCATCCAATGTATTTTTTAAATTTAATAAATGGTTGCTATTTTGTTTTATGATTACTTTGAATTTTTACATTTTTCAATGGATGTTGAACTGCAACTAAAGCCTTGCTTAAAGCCTTATGGCATTTTTCTTACACTTCTGTGATTTTTCAACCACATTCTTATATATTTTTTAAATATAGAATAGATATGTTTAATAGTCTCATAACCCTTGCCCTTGCGGATAAATGTAAATATTTTGCTGCATGTGTTTCATCTAACTCTGCAGTGTTAATGGGCTTAGCATGCACTAATATGACACAATGTTCTAGCTGGTACATACATGCATGACAATTTGGCATTGTTGAATTCAACAAAAATATAGTGCAACAAGAACACTGTGATGGATAGTTAGAACTATTTTGTGCTGTGTCATGTTCCAGCTTTGCTGTAAAGTAAGTTACTTGGCAGTAAAGATGATTGCATGTTTCAATATATAACCGTTGAGCTATTCTGAATTCATGATCTTTAAACTGGAAAGAAACTTCAATGAGTGAAAACATTCCATTGATAATACTTCAAAATAAATGGCAAAACATTGTATTGGTTATTACTGATAAAATTATTTGCAACATGCAAAAACTTTGTGGCATTTTCTTCATATGCATGTTTTGAGTTGTCCCTTTTTGCACCTGGGAATACAGCACTCCCAAGCGTGTGCATAATCATGTACACATTTATGCACACAGAATGTAGTACTATTTGGACCATTTAAAGCTGTTTTCTATTTCTTCATTCATATGAGGTAAAGCTAGTCGTAGTTAATCATTCATGAATATAAAACATAGCTATTTGAATGATAATTTCTAAACTTACTGTTTGTCGTGTTACACTTTTTATTAGAAAATCAAACCTTCATTTCTTCTGCTACTTCCTCTGGTACTTTTGCTTGCTCCACATCATTCTTTAAAATTCTCATTGTCCACTGTATCCACAAGCGCGAGCTCAATTTTCACATGAAGTTATTGTAATTCCTTTCCATGCTCAGCATCTCTATTGAATGAATTGTCTTGCTTGTTATTTTAATACTCGTTTTGGTTCTCTACTCTCTCTGTTCTGAATTCACGGCCTTCTTTCCCTGAAAGTCACTCCCTTCAAACAAACTTTCCAAGCCATGTTGGAAGTCAACTTATTGAGTTTTGCACAATGTCCGTCCATTTATCAGAGCAATTCACAGTTTCTTTATATCACCCTGCAAGTAATTATTTGGAAACCTTTATAGCCGCCATCTTCAACTCAGTCAGCTGTTATTACTGAAATTTTGTAAACAAAAATTGCAACACGTAAGATGTGGAAATTTCCTCACCTGTCTACTGTTACCTCCAGTTAAACAGAGCATGAATTTAAGAAAGGGTTGTAACGCTACAATAATGAATCTCGATTTGTTTCCCATCAAGCATGACTCTGTACTGAAAATATGGAACAATGAATTTACCTGGTAATTGCAGATCAAAAAATCCAAAAACTCTGGTCTCTGAATTATCAGAGCAGATGTATGACTGATATGAGCATCAGGCATCTATGGAAATCAGGGTTCTCTTGGGTCATTCCCCAGCTACATTAGAATTTCCATTCCGAGTTGGTGATTGAGCATTGCACCCCTTAACTGACATGGCTACCAATCCTGACCACCCAACACCTGACTATAACCCCCTTGGCCATTTGGCTGTCGACATGGTCACCTTCCTGATCTGGTTCAACTATCCTCAACCACCCAATTAGTACCTTTCCTATTTACCATCTACCTCACACACCCCCTTCACACATTCATTCATACCCCACTCTCACACTTGCTGATACTATTATTGAATTTTTTAAACTTTTGCCCCTCTCTGTCCCTATCTCACTCTCAATCCTCCTCCCGCCCTCCCATACATGCAGGCACGCACGCGCACACACACACACATACGCGCGCGCGCACACACACACACACTTTTACTTGATTAAGATCAAATTCAAGGAACGAGCAGCAATCTGATAATGCCTCAAATGATCTGGTCCAAAGATGGAATCTATAACCAACTCGATCAGACAGGATGCCTATGACAGGAGGACTGGGATTTGGGGGAGTGCAGAGGTTGCTTGGTGATGGAGAGTAGTTCGTACCACATAAACAACTTGTGCATGTGTATAGGTCTACTACACATAAATGAATGGATATTGTATTTCGTTGTGGTTATGTTATTGTTTAATTAGTGAACTTGTTCGGTTGAAATCTTTACTAAATTGTAAATGTCCATTTGCAGCTTTAGTTAATTACATTTTATGAAATGTATTGATATAAAACAGCATATCTACTTCTCAATATAAAACATTTGGTACAGTAATTAGCATTTATTAAATTGATTTTTTTAACAATTGAAATTTGGAACTAGATTTGTTTTCATTTTTATTGTATAGAGTACAACTGTAAATTGTTTGCACCTAGAAAGCAATAGGCTAAAAGAAGCTACTTTGAATTGTTTTCTTTCGTAAAATTGCTTTGTGCTGCAAGACCAATTCTAGATTTGAACCATTTCTCTTATCATTGGTATTTGGGAAAGAAAGTATTTCTTGATTGACTTAGTCTTTAAAGTTCTAATGTGCAATATTTGACCTATGAAGACTGGACATTTCAGCACTTCAAGGTTAAACAATTACTAATTAAGATACTTTTGTTTTTAGTTTATCTGTATAATTTAGCATGAAGTGTTTGGTTAATTGGTAAAATGAATGATGCACAATTGATAGACATACAACATATTCACTTTAAAAATGGGTTGATAGTTAAATCTGATTTAACTTCCTAATTTGTAGGAGAAAGCGTGTTGCTCTGGATTGAGAGGAGTTCTCCTAGAAAGGGAAATGTAACTGTTGACTGGAACATCCATGGAAAACATGCTCAGGACAATTTTGCAGATACTAGTGGAACACTTTTACTTTCTGAGGTAAGTAATGAGCACAATCCCCTCAACTACTGTGCACCACCCTGCTCCCTTCTCCGCAGCGGTAATTTGCTGAATGCAGGGTTCCCTTCACACCTTCTCCCTCTGCCCTACACACACTAACTCTACTTCCCTCTCCCTCTACATACCTCCTTTCCCTCCCAGCCTGCTTGGTCCCCACTCTTATTGTAGTGTCCTGCTGGAAAAGCACTTCTTTTGTTGTAGATTTAAAAGCATTGAAGAAGGAACCTTAATTTTGAAGTATCCTGTTCCTCACTCAGATATTTTTCAATCGTTCGTGGAATGTGGTCGTCATTGCCTAGGCAACCATTTATTGCACATCTCAAATTGTCCTTGAGAAGGTGGTAGTGATCTGCCTTCTTGACCAGCTTCAGTAATGGGCATGTAGAGACATTCACAATGCTGTTAGGAAGGGTGTTCCAGAATGATGAACCTGTGACTATGATGGAATGGTGATACAGATTCAAGTCAGGGTGGTACATGCATCTGCTGGCCTGGTCCTCCTTGATGGTGGAGGTCATGGGTATAGAAGATGTTGTTAGTGGAGCCTTAGTGAATTACTGCAATGCAACTTTTAGACACTGTCTCTGTGTGTCAGTGATGGAGGGAGTGAATGCTGAAGGAGGTGGGATGAAGTGCAAATCAAGTGGACTGCTTTGTCCTGCTTTATCCTCAAAGTTCCTGGGCTGTATTGGAACTTCAGTCATCATGTCAAGTGCGACTCAGTACTTGTGTCTTGTAAATGGTGAACAGGCACTGGGGAGACAGGAGGTGCCTACTCACCACAGGGTTCCGAGCTACTGATACACTGTTGTAGCCACATTTATATGGGTGCTCCAGTTCAGTTCTGACCATTGAATATCATTTGTGTGGCATGAATGTTGCTTGCCACTTATCAATCCAAGCCTGCATTTTGTCCAGGCCTTGCTGCATTTGGACATAGACAGCTTCTGTATTTGAACAGTCACAAATAATGCTGAATATTGTGCATTCTGACATTATGTTGGATGGAAGATCATTAGTGAATCACTGAAGATGGTTGGGTCTTGGACATTACCCTGAGGGACACCTCTTATGATTTAACAAGGTGTAGAGCTGGATGAACACAGCAGGCCAAGCAGCATCAGAGGAACAGGAAGGCTGACGTTTCGGGCCTAGACCCTTCTTCAGAAATGGGGGAGGGGAAGGGGGTTCTGAAATAAATAGGAAGAGAGGGGG